TGTTTAGCATATGAGAATGCTTTATTGTCAATTTAAGCCTAGGATCCTCATTTTACAAGTGAGGAGCATCTGACTGCTAACGAAATTGACAGAGTATCCCAAGATTACATTTCAATGGAAGAACCTAAGTTGTTTTATTTTTGTTTTTTGTTTTTTTCTATGTGTGGTACCTGCAATCAAACGCAGGACCTTGCACTTTCAAGGCAGGTGCAGTGCCACTGAGCTAAATCCCCGGCCCAAAACCTAAGATTTTTAACCATCAAGCAAGGGCTCTTTCTTCCTAATGGTAGTCTCCAAAGTCTTTTCATTCTGTACCACTCTCCATAAAAAAATAATGTGGACTGCACCATTAATATATGAGTACTTATTTATTAATACACATATTGTCTAACATATTGTCTACCTTATGTATCAAAATTTTAAACATACATGCATTTAAAAATGCCATATAAATAGAAATTTCTCTATTTTTTTCTTCATGTTCCAGTCAATGTTGTGCTGTCTACTCTACCTATTCTCCATTGTGGTATCTGCTGTCTGTACTATCCATTTTATTTTTGTTTTTTTGTTTGGGAACCGGGAATGAAACTCAGGATTTTGCGCTTGCGAGGTAGGCATGGTGCCACTGAGCTAAATCCCCGGCCCAGTATCTGCTCTCTGTACCAGAGCACGTGGAGTGAGAACAGTGTGATTTTAATGGCCAAATGGATCTGGGTTGGAATCTTGGTTCTGCCACACATTAGCACTGGGTACCTTGGGATAATTACTTAATGTTTGACCAAAGCTCTGTCTGTAAAATGGTAATAAATAATTTTTATCTCACACAATTGTCTGAACTGAGTAAGGTATATGTCTTGGGTAGAAAAATTACCTAACATAATCTGGTAAAGTTATGAACTTACTGTCATCAATCTTGACTGCACCTTCTTACTATTTCTTTTGTGTTTTGGTATCATTTTACTTTCCACTTTTTCCAGCCACTATTTCAGACCTTCATCCCCAAACTTCAATAAACCTATCCCCCTTTTCATTCTTAGCTGATGATCTCATGTGTAATTTTAGGGGAAAATTAGAGCTAACCTCAACTTCCTGACAAAGCTATAAACATAAAACACATGTCTCTATACAGAACTTCTTCCCTACTTCCTATCAGTCATTTAACAAATATTTATTGAATATCTTTTATAGGTCAGATACTGCTCTGTGCACTGGAAATGTAGTGACCAAAGAGAATAAAGTTCAGAACTTATATTTTAGTGGTGATACAAAAACAAGTAATAAATGAATAGAGTGAGTTACAGGAGGGTAAATGCTACGGAGACAAATACAATATGGTAAAATGTAGGAAGTTTGTCCTGGCCAGGGGCAGAAAGTCTGCTATTCTATAGGGAGCAGTCACAAAAATCCTCAAAGATAAATTACTATCTAAAGAAAGTGAAGAGATGGGGCTGGGGATTTAGCTCAGTGGCTCTGCCACCTGCCTCGCAAGCGTAAGGTCCCATGTTTGATCCCTGGTAACTCCCCCCACCACCCCAAAAAAGAAAGTGAAGAGGTTGGCCATAAAGTTATCTGTGGCAAGAGCATTCCTGGTGAAGGAGAAATGGTAGGGTTAAGATTTCTGAAGGAGAGACATGCTTAGCATGGTGATGGAATAGCAAGGAAACTAATGTGACTCAACTGCCCGAGAGGTGACCACCATAAAGAACTAGCTTTTACTCTGAGCAAGCTCAGCTATTACAGGAAAGTTCTGAGAATACAGTCTGATCTGTCTTGTCTTTTGAAAGGATAATTCTGACCACCATGTTCAAAATTCACGGATGGAGGCAAAGATTTCTTTCGCAAAGAACCCTGTTAAGAGGCTACTGCAAGTGTATGAGTGGGGGATGATGGGGGCTTGGCTCAGGGTGGGCGCAGTGGCTACAAGCAGGAGCTCACACTGTGAACACATTCGAAGGGCCTGCCCTGTCGAATCACTGATGAACTGGATCTGATGTCAGAGAGAAAGAGCAGCCAAGGGTAACTCCAAGGTTTTTGGCCTGGATACCTGGAAGATGGAATTGTCATTATTGAGATGGGAAAACTTTAGGAATAGGAAGATTGGGAAAGTGGCGAAGAAACCAGAACTTTGTTTTCCAATATGTTGAACTGGAAATTCTTATCAGATATCAAATAAGTAGCTGTCATTGAGTTTGGAGTTTGAGAGAGGAGATCAGACTAATATTGTGTTAATTTGACAGCTATCACAATGGGATGATACATAGCCACACAATTAAATATCATAATCAATGGAATAAATGCAGATATGAAAAGATGTCTAGAAATTGAAATTCAGTGCTTTAGAGGTCCAGGAGATAATAAGGAGCCAGCAAAGAAGACTAAGGAATAGTGGCTAGTATGGATGAATTCAAGAATTATTTCAATGAGAAAAAAGATATGACTATTCTAGAAAGAAAATACTGCCATCATGTACATAGGAAAGTACATGAAAGTAAGAACTATTAGAGTATAAAGTGGGAAGTCAAAAATTTAGATAGGAGAGACTTTTGCTAACTAAGGGAGACTGTACTTTACCCTGTGGAATTATGTGGAATCATTGAACAGACACAAGCAATACATTCAGTGTTAAATTTCTTTTTAGATGAAACACTCCGGTGTCAGAGTGAATGAATTTTTGCAGGGTTCTGGGAAGGGAATGTAAGTGTGCCAGTTAATCTTAATTGTCAACCTGGGAGTTAAAAAAGCTCCTAAAGAGCTGCCTGGACTGTGAGGCCACTAACCTAACCAATGGGTTAGCCAAGTGATGAGTTCATAGCCGAATGTGTTATCAGGAGGCAGGGCCTAGTTGGAGGAAGTGGCTGATGGGTGTGTGGCCTTGGGAACTTATCTGGTCCCTGGCCCTCTTATGCTCTTTCTGTTGATTCCCACCTGCCATGAGTGGAGCAGCTTTCCTCTGCCATGCCTTTTTGCCATGTTTATGCTTTGGAGCTGGCTAACCATGGGCCTAAACCTCTGAAACTGTAAGCCTAAACACACACACACACACACACACACACACACACAAATACACACACATCACCACCACCACCACCACCACCAACAAAATAACCTTCTCATCCTTTAATTGCAGATGTCAGAGATTGTTCCCAGCAATGGAAATCTGACCAATATAATAGGCAAACCCTTAAATGGAATCACGAAGAGTTTAACATCTCAGACAAAGGATGGACAAGGGAGATGACTGAGACTCTGAATTAAGCCAGTGATTTAAAAAAAGAGTAAGAATTTTAAAAAGAAGCATTTAGGGGCTGGGGATTTAGCTCAGTGGTTCTACCACCTGCCTTGCAAGCACAAGGTCCTGAGTTCAATCCCCGCCACCAAAAAAAAAAAAACCCCAAAAAACATTTAAAGGTGAAAACAGCAGTAGGGCTTGGATGCTGGGGAGAGTGAGGAAGAGGGAGAAGTTAAGTATGGCTGCCACGCTTGAGGGGTGAGGGGAATGGCAGTGATATTACCTGATATAAGAAGGTGATGAGTCAACTGTTTAGGAAAGAATAAGGTGATGGCTTCTGTTTTCAAGGTTTTATATTTAAGGTGTCAATGGAATGATCAAAGAATTATGTTTAGCAGAGAGATACGTAAGAGAAACTCTGAGGAGAGTTCAGACCCCGAAACAGGTTTGGGAGTTACCAGTACAGAAGCTATAGATGGACCACAGGAATGGGTAAAATTACCTGTAGTAGCAGTCAGCATTTTCTTTCAAACCTACAACTAAGGTTAGAATACAGTTAAAAGATTATAGAAAAGAAGCAAATCTTGTAAGAGAGAGGAAAAAAGAGAGAAGGAAAGAAAAATTAAGTAGAGAGTAGACGAGGAAAAGACATTTTAGTCTAGGCATACCATTAATTCTGTTCAAATATCTGTGGTTTTGTTTTTAATATCCTTTTCCAGGTTAAATAGGATAATTATTGGCTTGTTTGACCATAGCCGCATTTCAACCTATTACTTCAGGAAACAATCTGCAATGATGTCTTTTTAAAAAAAAATTTGGCTTACAAAAACTATACTGTTATTACTGGTAGCAAAGTTTATTTCGATTTAACAAACATATTGGGCTAGTGTGAAGGATGTAAAAATGTATAAGACACAGTCCTTTGCTCTAAGAACATTTAATCAGACAAAAGACCAAGAAATAAATCAAATGATCTTTCAAAACACAAATTTAATTTAATCACACCCCTCTATCGGAAACATTCTGTGGTATAGATTGCTAGCTGTCCCCTGGTCACCACACTCCTCTTCTGCTGTAGTGGTTACCCAGACCATGGAGAATAAAGACTCTACTACTAGCTTCCATGTGAATACATGCGGCCATATGATTAAGTTCTAAATATAAGTGAAAAAAGCATCAATAACTTCCAGAAAGTTCTTAAAGGGAAGGGCATTTACTTCTCTTCCCTAGCTTCTCTGGCCTGTTAGCTAGAATGTATACATGCTTTCTCAAACTGAGCTGCCACATTAGGCCAAGAGATGACCTTCAGAATAGAGGCTACACATGGCAGAACAGTAAGATACATGGAGTCTATTTACCTGGAAGCTGTCAACTAACTATAGAGCTTTTGAATGGACAGAAGATGAGTTAGGCTATTTGTTATTGTTTCTAGTGGCTGACACCTTTAGTACAATAATTTTAATAGAATTGTTTGTACCTTCCAGCTCTATCTATTCATTCCTCCTGACATGACTCTAAAGCACAAGTAGAATGCATAACAAATTTAATATTTGAAATACAATGATTATCTGCCGCAAACTCATATTAAGTGAAAACTCATATTAAGTGAAAATCCAAGTATTTATTAGCAGACATAGTACTTCTTTAAATCCAAAAAAGTAATATGCTTAATAAGTTTACAACACTAGTGAAAAGAAGAAGATTCATTCCTCAGTCATCAGTATTACTGATTTCTATCTTTACGATAACTTTGCTAATGTTTTTAACTTACTTCTTTTGAAGGATTCACTGGTAATGTAAAGATAGTTTTCCAGTACGACCAGACAAACATTGCAAAAAGCAGATGATAGGCCATCAGGCACACAACTAAAATGAAAGGAACATCGTTATCATTGTAATATGCAAATATGTACACAAATCATGGTGTTTAGAAAGGATCTGCTCATTCTAAAATATTGAAATTATCTATTATAATAAGTTATAAAAATTCATTTACATCACACTGGAATAGTACAATTCATTGAATATAAACATAAAGCCAAGAGTATTTTTTAATCACTAAATGCATAATTAGATCTATTTTACAGCCATGAATAGAACCCTCCTATCTGTAGATGGGTACGTCCACTGGCAAAATAGCTAACAGGGATCTTTCCTAAATTGTAAAAATAAGGCAGTTATTCCTGCAATTTTAAAGAGTAAACAGCAAGAAATAAATGTTAATAAAACTTTCAGGTTTTAAAAACTTTGCTTTACTCACAGAGATAGCAAAAGTAGTTCCTATCTGAGAATTTGTTTGCTGATTTCCTTAACTATAGTTGTTGCTGATGGTCCCCATTGTTGTAATGAGAACATATTTAAATAGGGACCATCTGGTTAAGGAGAGATTTCCTCCAGTGGGAGTTCAAATGCCTTATTTATCATGCAAGACAGTTGTTAAGAAAAGGATTCTGGATATTTTTTCAAGGTAATATATGTAAACATTATTTATGTGATGTTATAAAATATTACACAAACTTAAGATATTAATTTGTATATAGTGATAATAATTCATTCTAAATGATACATTAGTATACAACCTAATGCTGTAAGATTTAGTTGAATAAAATATGCTAATGTAGAATACAGCATGCTTGGCATTTTGAAACTACTGTACCTGGTAAGAACAATTTCTGATTTTCTAAAGAATAGTATATTTCTATTTATAGAATCATTAAATATTTTTATTATTCAGTAAGGCCCCCAAGTTAGTATGAGATGATTAAGGCCAATGGCAGTTTTCATACATTATGAAGGTGACTCTGTGAGTTGGGACAAGAGATGCTGACATCTCTTTACTTTAAAAGAGAATCTTTGGGCGCCGGGGATTTAGCTCAGTGGTTTCGCCTCCTGCTGCGCAAGTGCAAGGACCCGAGTTCGATCCCCAGTACCAAAAAAAAAAAGAAAAAGAAAAAAAAAGAGAATCTTTGGTACAATTATGGCCACTTCAGTGTAGAGTACTCTGTCAAGTCTGACAGAATTCAATCTGTAAATTTAGAGAAATGAGACATTATTTACCACATCTTATTTCCATATTCTTACAGAATAATTTATTCATCTCAGCCAAATCTTAATGGATAAAACTTTTTTCAAACTAATTTAACATTTTATATCTGCAACAATAACATATTTTACCTTGTTCACCAATGTTTTCCATGGACACTACAGAAATAGAAAAAAAAGAGGAAATAGGTTATATGAAGCTTATGGCAAACACAGGGTCTGACAGAGACATAAGGTATTTAAATAGGTTATGATTCGGCTTCTCTTCAAACCAACATTCATTAAAAATTTGTCCAACTTTACTGAGAGAGGTGAGTGCTGTGTGGAGACAGAGTGGGAAGGGAGACTGGTGGCTGCAGTCAGCCACCACTCTGCCCACGCTTCAGCCCTGGCTCCCACAGCAGAGCAGCGCTCTTCACTTGTGCACCTGCTGGGTCTCAGCCCAATATCAGCTGGATTATTGTTTTCCCCGCAACTACAGAGTTCACATAAAAGCAATGTTCTCTGGGCCGTTACATTTCCAGAAACATTTATTTTTCTTTATAAATTAACCACCTGGTAAGCTCTCCACAAGGAACAAAATGCTGAGTTCACAGCACATACTCTTCAAATTTCTAACAATACGAATTCTCATGCCCAGTGGGTCTAATTGCTCCCTATTTGTACATCGAGGGGCTTGGGCAACTTACAGGACCCCTTGGGTGCTGTAGTAGAAATGTGAAGGTGGCAGGTGAATTAGGACAAGGGCTACAAGAGCTGAGGCAAGCAATCCAGACTACTTTGTTTTTACTTTTGGTATTGTCTATTTGTTTTGCTATCCATATGGCCCTCCTGTGTTATAGTAAAGTCTTTGAAAGTTTTGGCCTACCTCAGTTGTACCAAGGAAAAGTCTGTCTTTATGTACTTATGTTCCTACTCTGCTTTTTAAAGGGGTGCAGAATTGCAATCCTTAGTCCTGGAATGGAATTTTACTGCCTTAAGGAGTCCTGGAATTAGATCATAGTGAGAGATTTTTGGATCACCTGACCTACCAGCCTCCTTCTCAAGAAAGCTAATGAATATTAGTTCCTAGAGCCAGCAGGAGCCCCCAGCTCTGGAGCATTGCCTGTTGTATACTGGCTTGCTCTAAGAATTTAAAAAAAATTCATTTATACAACATGCTAAAATTCATCTCTTTGCAGTTTCTACCTGTGATATCTAGGCTTCCAATCTGTCACAATAGATAAAATACAAAAGACCTCACACACTGAAAGTTACTGTCTCCCTCTGCCCACTAAATGTTCTCCTTTTGCCTAAATAATATATAATTTCCAGATCTCCTACCAACTTTGACATGGCATTTTTAGAAGTCTCCTAAGGTTCTCAATTCCCTTTAATGTTTCTGTTCTCCAGGATGGGTTAGGCAGGGACCATGATCTTTGACTTACAGCTGGCCTGTCCTGAAGTTTGCTTACAAGTCAGAGGTTAGTCAGAATTCATTTTCTCACAGAATCTCTGAAGTGGTTAATCCATGACTCAAGGTAAATTTATTTTCTATATCTCAACTCCCACCATGTGTTTCCATTTCTCTCTAAGGCCCGATGTTTCTGTCTCATCATGCCCCAAACTTGACTGTAACTCTTCCTAGGGTCAAAACCTCCTATCACTTAGAAGAGCTCACCTAAAGAAAAGGAAAAGCAATTTGACTCCATTTGTGCATTTATGTATGAGTGACCCTCAGTGTCCATGCCAGAGGTCCTGGTGCTTAAAAGAAAATGTATTTGCTAATCTCCGATTCTAGATGTCAGAAGTTAAAACCATGAATCCCAATGACATTTAAGAAGGCAAGCACAGTTAATGTAAGCTGATAATCTTTTTGACCATGAACACTGCTCTATTAGCGGAATATGAATTCAAAGATACCTTTTTAAAAGCCAGTTTTGCCATTTGTGGCTTGTTTTTCCATAAATGTAGTTCAAAATCCACAGAAGCTATATTTTTTAAATTGAACAAGTAATACTTGGATACATACTTACAGTAAATAATTCTAATAACATTTACATAATGAAATAAAAGCCCAGAAGGTCTAGAAACTGGGGATGAAGACTTCCAAGAAAATGGAGGAGTAGTAAGCAATATAAATAACAACGCAGGTTCTCCAAGATTTGGAATTCAGACACTGAAAAATAACAATTTGGAGAAGAGAGAGAGACAGACAGAGAGACAGAGACAGAGACAGAGGTGGGAGGGGAGGGGGAGGGAGGGACTTGGGGAGAGAGATAGATTAGATAGATAGATAGATAGATAGATAGATAGATAGATAGATAGATAGATATCCCTGGGAACCAGGAAGGCTCTCACAGGAAAATTAAAACCTACAGAAATATTGAAGAGACAGAACACAACATGGAGGGAAGGGACAATCTGCACTTTCTCCCCAGCTCCTGGCTTGTGGTATGCAGGAAAGGGAGACTGAATCTACAGAGACCAAGTGAAAGCTGGTGACCCTAGAGGGTCTTAGGGAGAAACGTGGCAGTGAAATTGGTGGGTGCTCTGAGCTGCAGGGAAAGCATGGGATTCTGCTCCCATATCAGTTCTTTGACAGGCAACAGGTTGTGAGTGACTCCATTTCAAGCTCCCACCATATCCTTGGAGAGAGGGCTTGGTCAGACACTATTTCGGGGAAGGGTTGTTTGAACCCAAGACTCAGAGCAGCCATGGGATGGCTTCAATTTCAGACTCCCAGTGTTAAGTTCCCACAGTGACTGATGAGAGGCAGCCACAGTAGACAGCTGTGGTCAGGGAGCTCTTGTCAGGGTGAAAAGAGACCCCCTGAAACATTTAAACTAAAGGATGTAGGCTCTGCCCACACAGCCAGAGGCCAGGCTTGGCCTGAATTTTTCTAGATTTGAAAATCACTGGCATTGGCATCCTTGCCCTAATCCTCCTGCCTGCTGGTGCCTGCATCCAGCACAGATCTGGAGTCTGCCTTTTTTTTTATCTGCCAGCATGAGCAGGAACATGTCTTGACTTAGATACTGCCACCAAATGGTAGATCCTAGAAGAAAATCATATGTTCAAAATCACAGAGAATTTTTTGGTTTTGGTTTTTTTGGTCATTGTTACGGTTTTTTGCTTTGTGTCAGCAGATGCATTGTTTTTAGTTTAGTTTTTCTTTCTTTCCTCCTCTCTGCTTCACCAGTTTACCAGGGCTTGAAGAATTTTTCTTTGTCCTTCTTCCTTGTTTTTTAATCTCTTTTTCTTGCTTCTTTTTTCTTTCCTTAATTTTTCCTCTTCCCTCTAAATTTTTTACCCTTTAATTTTTCTGTTTTGCTCCTTATATAATTTCTTGATTTTTCTCCCTCTTTTTTTACCTTCTATTTCCTATCAGCTTTTCTCTTACCTTTACCTAATTCTATAAACATTCTTCTAGTTCCCAGTAGGATTCTTTGTGCCACTTCTCTTCCTCATATCATATAGTTTAAGGTTTCAAAATTTTTCCTCTTCCATTCTCCCATTCCCAAAGCCTATATCTTTAATAGTGTAACCATAAAGCTTTGTTAATCTTTTGATAGTTAACTCTGTAAAATTATTGTTGAATTCTTTTCTAGTATTAGTGGAGATATAGCTGTCATATTTAGTATATACTAGATGTTAAGTCAATACCTGGGTTGTTTTATACTTACTCCATAATTGGGGATTTCTTCTTTAGAGTTAAGTGTGGTATATAATTGATTCTTATGTTAACATCAAATTTGTCTTGGATGATACTACTGTAGCTGATTGTTTGATATTGCTAGGGTTGCATAATTTTTGCTAATTTCTCTGTAAACCAACACTCATTCCCAGAGAACTTGGTTTGAGGGCTAATTATACTGCATCCTTCCCTCCCAAATCAACCAAGGTGGTCAGATCTTGGGGCTGAGGCAAAGGTTAGGCATTCCCAAAGTACACCACTGAAAAGCAACTAAAGAGATCTCTATACTACCAACAAAATCTTTACACTATAAGCATCCACAAACCTCAGCATAAAACAAAACAAACAAAAACAATAGAAACATGAAAAGACAAATAAACAAAATGCCTCCCCAAACTCCTGATTCCTTCAAAGCCAACTAGGGGGCACTGAGGGGCAGAACTGCCTAAGCTACACCCCTTAATTACTTGAAAGGATAACAGAAAAGGTTAGAAAACAGATCAAAGACAAGATGTACTCAGTGGGATCACAGAAAACTAAACAGATAAGGGAAGTAAGAATGGACATGATTCAGGAGTGTTCAGAAGACACTAATAAAAGGTTAGGTGAGCTAAACAAAACAATAAGAAATACGCAGTAGTTATACACAAAGAGTTTATTGTCAAAAATTCTATTAAGAAGCAACAGTCCAGAAAACTGCTGTTAATATAAAGCTAGTTCAATTTTTAGTCACTGTTATGGTTTGGGTCTAGATGTCCCCCCAAAGACTCATGCAGTCACAGATGGCTTTTTCAGAGGTACCTGAATCTAGAGTGTGTGATGCTGGGACTAAGGGCGTGTGATCACTGAACCAGTCCACTGATTGGTTTGGCACTGCCCTAGTCCTGGTAGTCTGGATAAGATAAAAGGGGCAGAAAGATGCTGTTGCTAAGGTTTCCTTGTTGCTTTTGCTACTATGTGGGCATCACGAACTGTCTCTACTCTGTGACCCTCCTCTGCCATGTGCCACTCTGCCTTGAAGCCAGCTGACTATGAACTGAAACCTCTATAAACTGTGAGCTAAATAAACTCTTTTCCCTTTAACTTTGAGTGTTGGGTATTATGTCTCAGCAATGAGAGAAAAGTAACTAACACAGTCACCAATATGCCTATAATCCAAAATAGTAGATATTAAAATATGGCTTTATAGTAGATAAAATATGCACTCTCCTCACCTTTAATTAGCAAAGAACAACTACATAATTCTTTCTAGAGTGATTTGGTTTTCAGATATTTTGAATTGCTCTAGTCTTTTTCTTTTCTTTTTTCTAGTACTGGGGATTGAACTCAGGACCTTGCGCTTGTAAGGCAGGCATGGCACCACTGAGCTAAATCTCCAGCCCTCTTTTTCTTTTTTAATCCAAATTTTCTCTTTTTTAAAATTTTCAAATTCAAACTCTCCTTTGGAAGAATACTTTTATTGCTTACACACAGTAACTTTTCT